AACTTTGTAATGAACTTTAGAAAGATTACATCTTATGGTGGCAAAGAAATACAGATTTGATTGGCTTGGTCGCGGAATTAGAAACTCTTTAAAAGGGAATTTGAAAAAAACTGTGGTCATCTGATACACAGTTATGTTCACAGAGTTGTGCTCGAAAAGTGACAATGACCTCTGGAACTTCCAGTAACCACAGTTTAGCATAAGATGGAACTTGAGTCTCCAGGCATGAAGAAGTAAGGATTCTCTGGGAATTTGGGGGAATTACTGACCCAGAGAGAATCATAGGAATTACAAAGAAATAGAAGTTTGCTTTGAAAAACATTACTATATTTCTACAAAAGCAGCATACATAGTGGTTGAACACACACCAATCATTGTGTCTGGATCTGAAGGCCAATTCCACCATTTGCTAGCTGTGTGACCTGAGACAAGCTAGTTAACCTCTCTGTGTCTTAGTTTCTTCCTCAATAAGAATGGGAGGAACTGAAAGTGCCTATGTCAAATTGATACATGTAAAGTGCATAGTCTAGAGCCTCACACTCAATAAGTAACAAGTGATTTTGAAAAGTGCTGTATAACTACAGATTATGAAAGCAGTAAGTTCATGGTAGAAGATATGTAAAATGTATACATGAATTGGGAGAGTAATAAAAAAAAATATGACACCATCATCTGCAATGACACATTGTCAGCATTTGGGGATATGATTAAGAAAAGGCATTTTCCACCAGGCCTGGTGGCTCACACCTGCAATCCCAGCACTTTGGGAGGCTGAGGCAGATGGATCACGAGGTCAGGAGATCGCAACCATCCTGGTTAACATCGTGAAACATTGTCTCTACTAAAAATACAAAAAAATTAGCCAGGCACGGTGGCGGGCGCCTGTGGTCCCAGCTACTCAGGAGGCTGGGGCAGGACAATGGCGTGAACCCGGGAGGCGGAGCTTGCAGTGAGCTGAGATCGCACCACTGCACTCCAGCCTGGGCCACAGAGCGAGACTCCGTCTCAAAAAATAATAATAATAAAAAATAAATAAAAGAAAAGAAATTTCCTTGGGCCAGGCATGGTGGCTCATGCCTGTAATCCCAGCACTTTGTGAGGCCAAGGCAGGGGGACCACGTGAGCCCAGGAGTTGGAGACCAGCCCAGGCAACATGGCAAAACTCCGTCTTCTACTACAAATACAAAAATTAGCCAGGTGTGGTGGTACACACCTGTAGTCCCAGCTACTTAGGAGGATGAGGCATGAGAAATGCTTGAACCCATGAGACGCAGGCTGCAGTGGGCTGAGATAGCACTACTGAACTCCAGCCTGGGTAACAGAGCAAGATCCTGTCTCAAAGGAAAAAGAAACAAACAAACCAAAAAAAAAAAAAAAAAAAGAAAAAGAAGAAAAAGAAAGAAAGAAAAAAGAAAAAAAAAAAGAATATTTCTTAAGCAAAAACTGGAATCATTTTGTATGGTCTTTTGAAAATTACATTTTGAAATTAAAAGCACATTTTGAGTAGAGATTTGTTTCAAATCTAATTTCTATATTCAGGTTCCAACAAACAAACAGTATAAGGAGCCAAACAACCCAAGCACCTCCACCCTATTGTGGAGTTTTCTGGAAAAGCTTTCAACAAAGGAGTCTGAACAGTAAATGGCACTTGCCTAATTTTTACACTGTGCTTTAGAAACCCAGGAAGGAGGCCCACGGCACTCCAGAATTGAAGAATCACACAGTACCATACCAGGTTAACAGCATGTTTCAATTCTTTTGCCCCCAAAGCATGTAACTACAGAGCAACCGCTGACTTAACTTTGCAGCGCCCATAAGCAGTACTGTATCTGTTTCTTCACAAAGAACAAACTAACTTGATTTTTGTGGAAGTTAAATTGCCAACATCATATTGAGTTAAAGAGAAACAAAACGAAAATCAGAAGTTTCAGCCCATGCTGTATCTTTAAAAAAAAAAATACATCCTTTGACCCCAAATAGATTAAAATTAAGCGCGATTAGTCTTCAACACCTCCTCCCTCCCACCACCATCAACATCACGCACTAGCTATATTTTCCAGGCCAGTTTCTTCATGGTAAAACACTTTCTCATGAGACTGCCTGTGGTCAGGGCTGACTATGTCACAGGAAAAAATGCTTCTCATGATCTCTAGATCATAGCACTTCCAGGTCTAGCATGAGCATTAAATACAGACACACCCGGAAATTGTAAATGATTTTAACAACAGGACATTTTCCCACCTCAAAAGTGGGATAATCTTTGCAGCCTACCTATGTCCCTGGGGTGTTCTGAGTATTAACAAGTTAGCATTAGTCAGGCACTTTGATTTCTACAGACAAAGGGCTCTGTATAAATACAAAGTATGATTATCCAACCCAACTGCCTTTTGGAGAGAGGCGGAAAGGCCACTGCTTCCATCGTTGTCCTCTCAAGAGCAAAGCAACCTCCCAGTTATCTGCAGGGCAACACTCGTGAAAGTTGCGCTGTATCTGAGCCTCTGCTGCACCGTTCCCTTATATAGTCAATGAAGAGGGAACCCCTTCTGTGTGCATATTTTCAATTCACATTCCAAAACAGTATAGGCAATGAAACAGATTTTCGGCTGTGATTTATAGGCCTGGATGTGACTGGGCCAGGCACTGTGCTAGAATCATGCACATCACTTCTTCAGGATGTGGAGAAGTAAGGAGGCCCCTACAGAAAATCATGTTCCTGTATTTAAAAGAATGTGCCAGTATGCGCACATATCTCAGTGAATGCCTACATATTAAGAATGATTTCACAAAGCCATGCAAACCCCACCTGAGAACTAAAAAAATACATAAATTTTAAATCTAAATTTAATATAGATTTGAGCCTTTCCCTTGGCCTCTGGAGGAATCAATTTGAGATAATGACAACCTTGAAGATAATGAAATAGGTTACATAATATTAAAGACTAGAAGGTATTTCTGAGGGACACAGACATATAAGTAGACTCTCTGTATTACAGCACCTGCCTAACATCTTTAAAGAGAGGGACAAAATGTTGGCCTCTGATAAATTATGTTGTACCCTAGCCACAGACACTATGGTATACTTTCCTTTAGTTGAGTTATTCATCTTTAGCTTTAAACATCAGAATATAGCCTTCAACAAAACGGTAAGAGCCACTGGTTTGTCCAATGGTGTTATGATTTAAAACACACACACATACACCACACAGTCAAGCTACTGAGGCAGGCATTCCTAAGTGAACTGTCTAGAAAAAGCTAAACTAATGAACAAAGTAATCCTGGGAAATCCTGTTCCATAAAACCATTAGTTGCAATAGGCTAATTCCCAATAAAAAGCCTGGCAAATTCTCAGAAGGCAAAAAGCCTCCTGAGCCTTAAGGGTTAACTCACTTGCCTTAAAATAAAAAAAAGACGCATATAATTTCCTTTTATCATAAAACAATGCATTTATTATTTTCTGTATATCTGTTAAAGGGCATGGCTTTCGGAGTGGAAAACAAAACAGAACTTGGTCACATGTTTATTTGCTTCAGCTACTCCCTTCCCCTTCTGATAAATAATCAAACATGCCATCCAGAAAAAACAAAACCAGCGAGCTGGGAAATTTGATGGTCATCAAATAGACTGAGATACCAAGAAAAGCAGCCCACTGTTCCCACACTGAGTTTTCAGCCCCCACACCTACACTAACATCTGAGTAAATACCTTCAGTCACTCTTTCCATTTTCCCTGCAATTACTCCTACTGTTAAACAAATTGTCCTTAAGGCAGTCGCAAACATCTTATTTTTTCTTGCAAAAGAGAACAACTTCTGAACATTCAAAAAAGCCATCATAGCCATAGCAATACACACACATGCACACGCACATACATACAATTATTTTATGTATTTAAATGTTTCTTCTATGAGAGGTCTGGACAACCCCAGACCATATTTCTTTCTCTATTCTAATAGATGCTGTTTTAGACACTAAATTTTAAAAATATTTAGTCTGGGGACTAGCAAACAAGGCTCACAGCAATAACAATTCTCTTAAGATCAAAAGAGCTAATTTTCCATTTCCTGTCTATTCCCTGACCACTATATAGTTAAAAAAGAAATATTAACACCTGGCTTACCAATTAAACTGAAGTTGGGGGTCAGGGAAGGGGGGTGTGGAGGGAGGGGAGAGAGGCAAAAGGAGTGACTACAGACAGGAAAAGGTGGAACCTTTTTAAAAAATGTCAAACCATGTGTTTAAAAAGTCATTTCAACAGAAAGGACTAAGAGAGCCGTTAGATCGCTCTTCTACTCAAGAGCCAGGAGGCAGCCCAAGTCCAAGGGCTTTTCCTGCCATACTGATGATCCACAAGGAAAATTTTGAAAAGAGCCTTCCAACATCAAAGTTAACAACCATCACAGAAAGTGAGGCAGGCTTCCCTTTCCCTCTGCAGCCCACTCCGTTGAAACAATAGGAATATGAATGAGATAATGACCGTGCGTGTTTCAGCAGTCTGACTTTTATTGGCATGAAATTGGTACAAATATTATCAAGCCTGATTCACAAATGATGACGGTGTCGTGATGCAAACATTAGGGGACAATTCTGTAGATGCAGAATTACAAAGGCACCATCCCCACATTCTCTTACTACTTGTGATAACAGGAAGAAAAAGAAGGCAACGCGAAACAATGTCACAGTAAGCAGAGAGAGGTTCCAATCTACGTTCAGCCTATAAAACTATCCTGACACCACCCGGCTGCTTACTTAGCTGATTATATCCAAAGACATATTTGAAAGCAAGAGTGAATTAAACAAGGAGTTAGAAGGAGACGGTCCTCTCAAATCTCTAAAAAGAAAAAAGCCTCTGATGGAGAGAGGAGGGAAGGGGGAGGAAAAAAAGCAGTAAACAAGTTGGATCATCTTATTTCGCCCTTCGGAGAATGTCTGCACAAGAACGGATCCCTAGTTTAAAAGTTTAACCCACCAAAAAAAAATGTTTCTTTTTCTCTGGACACTTACAGAGAAAATGAAGAGTTTGGCGAAGGGAGCCCGTACTGTCTGCCTTTGGATTTCCGTCTTCTTGCTGTAGATGGGTTCTGGCTGTTTCTGCGAAGCGGGGGTTGCCGAGTGGTAAAAAAGATGTTTGAATAAACAGGAAGTACTGTGCGGCTGAAGCACACTCGAAGAGAAAACACACTGGAACATTGCCCTTTGTAGGCAACCTCAGGGAGGTTTGCCTCCACAGTAGCTGGCTGGGCTCTCACTAAATGACAAAGAAACCACAAGAATTCCTCAAGTAATTCTTCACTTTCAAAGTTGAAAGATCAGTTGGAGCTTGCAGGTAATTTTCAAAGTTGCATTTAGCACTTAAAGAAATCTATTAATGCCACACGTATCTAAACCGCTCCAGGTCTGCAAGCAGCGACACAGCACACGCAGTGTGCCCTGGCTAGACCAAGCCCTAGCCAAACACAGCTCATTCACGCAGACAAATACACACCAACAGGGTTTCGGGAAACCTGCTCTTGAGATATTTTTGTGGTGACATTTACATAGGCAGGATGCTTTAAAAAAAAAAAAAAAAAAGAAGAAGAAAATTCAGATTTTGCAGACTTTAGAGGATTTTGTCACATGTATTTTTAAAGAACATATTGTCCCGTATTCCAGAGATATGCCCTGGATCTGGCTTTGACTGGCTGTCCTTTATATTTTCTTTCTCCACCATCAACCAAACTACCTGTTTATTTCCAGATGCCTAGCTTGCCTACTGGAACACTCCTTAACCCGCCCCAAAATGATTATCACAGTCCTGTCTTCCGTCACCGGGAGTAATTCAACAGATACTGTAAAGAAAAGTAAACTGGTAAAGGCACAGCAAGTCAGCTTGAAAAATAAGAGGAAGAGTTGAACAGCCATATTCAATAACAAAAAAAAAAAAAAAAGGAAGAAAAGGATTCCTTCTGAAAATGTATTGCTCTTGTGGCAATGTTCTTCTGCCACGGAAGCTACTGATTTGTTATTTAGAGTGGAATGCTGGACTGTCTGTCATCCAGGTGCTAATACTCGGCTAAAATAACTCATTGGGAGCTGTCAGTGGGATGTTTACATAGGCCCCAATCTTTTCTTCATAGAAGGAAATTTTTTACTGGAATTCATCTTCTTTTGATCTCACATTCAAAGCAACGGCAGCTTGATAGACATTCAAGTCTGAAAGCAAATCCAGACGCTGAAGATAAACCGCCAGAAAATGACAGGCAGAAGCATCTAAAGCTTATAAAAATGAAGAGAACAGCATGTCGCCTGAGTATTACAATAGCAGAAATCAAGAGACATATTAGGTGGAACTGATCAGCCACAAAAACAGTTCAAAAGGCAGATCATAGAAACAGAGGACTAGGCTAGGGGGAAAAAATGGGAAAGATCTGGTTTACTGCCTCATCTCCCTTCTGAGCCTCACAGTGCTTCCACGCCTGCCTTCTCCACTTTGGGAAGGGGTGGAGTATCCAATGCAAATGTTCCTCTCTAACTCAGCTGGTCCAGTTAGAGACCAGGAAATGATTTCCTAGCAATCCATTTTCAAGGGGCAGGAGAAAAAGGCAGACTCTTACCTTGCTCAGTGTCCAACATGCTGCATTTTATTAGCATCCCCTGCAGCTGCTCTGCGTTGCAGTATCAAAAGGCACACAGCCTGGGCGCCATGAAAGTGGGCGGTCAGGAAAACCATCTCTCAACAGAAGAGCTATAAGTAGTTCGAGATGGGGCTAGAGAGCTCGAAGCAGTCCAGTTCCCTAAAATGGCTAGTTATGGAATGAACACAAATGTTCCAGCCTCAGTCACACAAATAGATGTGTTCTGTCCTACAGATATGTAACAGCTCAACACCTAGTAGCTTTTAAGCCAACTAGGGCAGTTCTGTAAAGGAATTATCACAACTTTCTTAGAGACATGCAATTAAAAAAAAAAAAAAAAGCCTCTTATTTTCATTAAAGTCAGTGCATACAATGAAATACTAATTATCCCAACAATTTTGTTCTTAAAGCTGTTTGTTAACAAACACTGAATGTGAACAGGCAGCATCAGGTTAAAGGGCAACAGAATTCCACATTATAATTTAGCCCGCGGTTATTCCTGATTGCAAGCACCCTCTGGGACTGCAAAGCAAGATCTTCTTCTGCAGCGCGCTTGGATTTTTAAAATTAGTGCCCCTCCTTTTTTGCATAATAAACCAACATTAAAATATGGATTAAAAAATGTACAAGCCAAGTTTTAAAAGCTGTAATCAGTTTAGCATTTGCCTTGTGCAAACGAGTCCCGGGTAACTAAGTTACAAAGGCAAAAAACAAACACCACAAACAAACAAAGCCAAAGCCCTACTGGATCCTACGAGTGTTTTTTCAAGACACCTCTGCCATGCCTATACAGCTATCAGATGTGCTGAAGTCGATGATTTCCCTTTGAACTGTACTAGTTCAATCTGTGAAAGTCACCCTGGTTGTTCTCTAACCATAAAAAAAAAAAGCAAACAAACATACTTGCTCTCAACACTTATTTCCAAACTTCCCCCAACTAAATATTCCGTGTTGTTGCAATTGTGTGTTCGATTTACAAAAAACACAGAAAGGTTTGTCGTGAAAACGAAATGCAAATTCCCTTATACATTATAAAATAGGTTCTTCCTCTACAAAGAATGCCGCCACCACTGCTGTGATGCAAGGAGCAGCAACACTCCACTTCTCATGGCCATTAGAAATCTTTTTTAAAAAATCTGCCACGTATAAAGACCTTCATTAGTATAATTAAATGACTGTTGGGTTTTTGTGATATAAACAACTTTTGATATGTCATTTAAAAACCTCATAATAACATCATTAAAGAGCCACCATTTTTAATAGAGAAATTGTCTGCTCAGGGCCATGGAACAGTCGTCTCGCTCTGGGCCTCTTCCTCCTCTCCCTTTCAGACTTCTGCTGGACTTGAATGTCACCATAGACCTTGAATCCTTGAATGTGAAATGGCTTCACGCTAATTGCTCTAATTGCTTGAAGATGTGCAGGCAGGTGAAACCTGATCCCTGTGGCCATTGTAGACCAAGAACAACACGGGAATGTTTACACAGTGGTTTGATTTTAATAGACAGAAGGGCTGAGTTTAAGACAGCAAAAACACAGCTAATAGGTGACCTCTTAATGTAGTCCTCCTCTAAATAAAAAAAAAAAGGACACACAACAAAATACAATTTCATGTTCTAAAAGGCAACGTCCTAAATACCAAGGTTATTTGCTTGACTCTTGGAGTTGAGTACACGTTACATTGCACCTGACATTTTATACCCGAAAGTCTACCCAGAGTATGTGTGCGTGTGATTTTTTTTTTTTTACTTTAAAACAAAAAAGCACTTTATATGTCAGTCAACTTACAAACAGATTATGACTCCATGGTATTTCCTATTAAGTGCATTCATTTAAATTTTAAATTGAATATTTTTCACAGCTGTAAAACTCCTTGTCCCTTAAACGGAAGGCTTGGGTGTCTCCTTGTTTACTCCTTTGCCTCTTCTGTCCCCACCCCCATTTATGGAATTCTTGACCCTTGTCCATTTCTTGATTGCAGTTGAAGTTGAGCCCAAACCCTCTCACACTGGTGCTTCAGACATTTGTCTAAAGGCTTTCAGGATCTTGTTTCTTTGTTGCTGTGTGGGACTGTGGTCTCCTTCCACCTAGACAGACTAAGGTGGCCATAAGAGTGGCCAAAATAGTTATTCAAAAACAGTGGCTACTCTCCTTGATGTTTTAACAATCTGGAATGGACACCAAGGTTTAACGATGGCTCCCCAGGGCCCTCTCTTAACAGGGCACAAAGGTAACCACGGCTAGACAAGAAATACATGATAGCAAGGTCAAGAGAAAAATACAGCAGCACCTCCAAGGTATCATTAACAAAAGGAAACCCACAAAGGTTAGGGGAAGTGTTAGGTATTGAGATAGGTAGATAGGTAGGCAGGTAGATAGATAGCTCAAGGATCCAAATGTATAGGAGCATTTCATATATAGCCAAGGAAATACTGCCAAACAGAAAATGAGAATGAAACATATACTACAGTAGGAAAAATGCGGCAAAACAATGGAATTATTTTAAGGTTAAGCTGGGCAATTAGAGCCAATGATACACCTTGTAAATGAGAACAGAGAAGCACGAAATACCCCATACAGCAGGGAGTACTGTCTAACTGCTGCTCTGCCAAGTTATGCTGTATATTAACTTCTGATGATGAAATACAAAATGCAGCAGAAAGGGGGGAAAAGTTCTCTTAAAGCTACAAAAACTTTAACTATATAAGCTAAGTAATAAATATAGGCCCTTCTTTTCCTGGACTATTTGTCTCCCCGGACACTGAAAGACAAAATAATGAAACAAAAATAACTGTGTAGAACCTCCCTTTGAATCACAGCCACCTCACATACATTTCCAGACAATCCTACTTTCTGCTAAAAGTTATAATCTCCGGCCAGGCACAGTGGCTCACGCCTGTAATCCCAGCACTTTGGGAGGCCGAGGTAGGCGGATCACGAGGTCGTAAGAGATCGAGACCATCCTGGTCAACATGGCGAAACCCCATCTCTACTAAAAACACAAAAATTAGCTGGGTGTGGTGATGTGTGCCTGTAGTCCTAGCTGCTCAGGAGGCAAAGGCAGGAGAATCACTTGAACCCGGGAGGTGGAGGTTGCAGTGAGCCGAGATCGCACCACTGCACTCCAGCCTGGCGACAGAGTGAGAGTCCGTCTCAAAAAAAAAAAAAAAATTATAATCTCCTATTAAGAAGAAATGCCCTTCCCTCTGAAAAAGGAGGGGGAACCAGTAACCATTTGTACATGTACAGATTAAGTATAAACCAGTCCAAGCCAGTGAGAGGAACACAGAGGAAAAAAGTAAACAGGCCCCTACCCCCTACCCCCAAAATAGTTCCCCTTTGAAAGTTCTAAGTGGTGAGTGCCTGGTACCGAAGGCTGCCCTGTTCCTTGGAGGGGTCAGCAAAGCTATGCTAAACTGACAGGTTCAGTTTACAGCAGGCCAGAACTTTGTTTGGATATACTGGCCTTGTTCACCGCCAGCTTAACAACAGATGGCTAGAAAACTTTCATTATGTTGCACAGGACTGAACTGCAAACAACCCAGAAAACTGTGAAAAGTTTAACTCCCTCTGAACCAATGTGCCAAACCAGGGCCTGCCCAGAGCCAGTGAACCAGCTTAGGGACAAGGGGACCGTGGAAGTGATGGTTAAAATAACACTGCCCACGTCAAGTCAAAGCACCTTTCTAGGCTCCAAAACGGCAGAGACCCACCCAAATCTTTATTTAACTCTTCAAGCGCCAGGCCATATAAGGAGTGGCATTGACCATGCCTTCTTTACTTTTCCAAAATGTACTGGCAGACATTCCCTCCCTTTGGAGAAAGAAAATCTTACTCCAGACAATTCCCAATCCTCAAGCTCCCGTTCTGCCTTCCCGTCTCCTGGAAGTTGGGAGCACAGGACCAAATTGTCTTACCCTAACACCCAGAGTTAAATATGATTTATCTAAATCTGTTTATAATTTAAATATTCATTAAGTAGATTCAATCACATGAACCCTAATATCTCCTAATGCTCTGAGACAGGTTATAAATGCACCTTTGAAGGTTTAATTCAATTGGCAATCTGAGAAGTCTTATCACTGGAAATGTGTTATTTTCATATTATTCAAGAAATGAACGAATGTGTTTTCCACAAATGTATTTTAGAAGCTACCCTTTCCTGTTATTGAAAGAAAATTGTGTTTATTACTCCTTTAGC